AAAAAATTCCCTGCTTTTTAAAATTTTAATACAGAAAGGTACGCATTCTATTTTAAAAATTTAAGGCCACCTTAATATCTCGTAAATAAATAGGTTATTTAAAAAAAACCGTTTTAGCATCATATGTTCCCTTTGATACCATGCAATTTGTATATAAAACAGTTTTTTGTAGAACACGTAGTTTAAAAGTCATTTGGGGTGGACAAGTTATGTGACTCACCCCGTATATATGTTTACCAATTGTTAAATGTCACAATAAAATATTGTATTCATGCAATCGCATAACAAACAATTACTATTGTATAGTACTTTACATTAATTTTAAGTAATTCATAGCATTATAACTCAAACTTCTGTAAATTTTATTGCCTGTTCGACATTTACGAATAAGATAATGATTTTTGAATATAAGTGTGCGCAATTCAAATGATGATTTATAATATTGTAGAAACTGATAAATATACAGATTTCAATATGCATTTTTTAAATAATTTTTAATAAACTTAGGTTTCAGTTTATTACCTGAAGATATGAAATTATGAATATTTTATTACATTAAGAATCACACACATTAAGGTGTATCATAAATATCTATTCTTAAATAAGCCATATTTATATTTAAATGATAACAGTCAGTTTGAAATTGAGGTAGTATCAACGACTAACTTACTTTTGTATTTTTTAAATTTATTACAATTCAACTAAAATAATTTTATTTTACAATATACAACTTCAACAATTATAAAATACAAAATACTATTTAAAATATAGTTTTTTTTTAATTTTCTTAGTTATAATAACATTTGTTATTTCACAAAATTTTCCATCTATACATATTTATTTTATTATGCTCCCTATTAAATAAATGAACTTACATTTATTCATTTATCTATTACTGTTCTATTCTGCCTTTTACACATACAAATTATTTTAACATTATATGTTTAATATTGAAACATTTCAACATTGAAACAACGTACAAGCATCTGATGATAATGAGAGGTATAAATATTTGATCAGTGTAAGGTACATTGTGTAATTTGCTTACAAAGCATATTCAAATTAATTGTACAAAAAATAAGTAAATTTTTAATTAAAAATGTAATGTAATCACATAAAAATACTACTACACGTGTCACATTGATATTTCCCACGCAGTTACGTAATTTTTAAGATTTACTTACTTCTATGGACACATTCTTACTTCTATTGGCACAATTTTAAATATATTAAAAACGACTGGAAACAAAATACTTTATAATACACAATATCTTAATGCAACAAAAAATTGTTTATTTTACAATAAAATTTATAATTATACTTCCGTTTATATATTAATTTTCTTGGTGTAAAGTAACTATATTTAAATAGGTACTTTTTCAAAAAGTTAATAATATTGTAGTAAAAAAATACTTATTGTGTGAAAAACAGTTACATTTTCTTTTCATTTTTGTTTGTGATAAAATTGAAAATAAACATATAAACATATTAAAATAAGCTAATAAGTTCAGTGTCGAGACATTTTATAATTGTTATATACAAAAGTAGTTAACACAATTTACTAAGAAATATTACACTACTTTTTTATTTGGATGTATCCCAATAGCATGCTTTATTTAATTAGAAATATGTTTTGTGAAGAAAATATTTTATAGCTAATACCACAGAGTACTAAAAATTTTTATATGAAAATCATGGCATGACACTGATCGCAATAAAAATGTAAAAATTTTCTGATTTGTTGTCAATAGCAATCAACAGATGTTAATTATAAATAGAGTATACATCCTATGAATTTGCCTTATAGTAGCAAGCTAATGAAATACTTTACATGAAAATTAAAGCTTACTAATTTTTTAAATAAAATTACCTATTGAACACTATTTACTGTTTCAAATTACATGCACAAAATAAATGTTCTGAAAGAGATTCATATCTATTACTAGGACTCTTAAATGCACAATAAGGATTTAAAAATATATTGAGATCTGATTGATTTAAATATGTATATATCTATATAGTCTTGGGTGAATGCTTAAATGAAATTTATTTTCATGAATAAATTCATTATTACTTTATAATTTATCGACAAAAATAATAAAAAAAGTATTTGGAAAACACTTCAAATACTTATCAGATACTTAAAAACCATTTATAAGAAATTGGAAGTTTGTTTTCCATAACATACACTCAATATTCTTTGGTTTAATTATTATAAAAGAACTATGTAGTCAAATTTCTATTACCATCACAGTTTAATAAACATTTTTATAGAAAATGGACTGTTTGTTGCGGAATGCAAAAGAACTGCAAATGTTGCATAGCATGTCCCTTGATTTCCTAATTATAAAATAAATGTTATCATTATAATTTAATTCAATGTACTATTGTGATTGTTGTTAATGCTGTTTGCATAAACGTACATTGCACACAATATTCAGATAAGTGTTGGAAATAACTTTTATAATATCTTTTGCTATGTAAAAGTAATTCTCCTGATTATTACTAATTATCATTAGTACTAAAGGATCAATAGATATTCAACAAACCCCTGTTTTCTAATGAATCCTTTAAAGTTTGAAACAATTGCAACTGTTGCTCTGGTTTTAAACTATATACCTGTAAATAAATAAAGTAAATAATAGTGTAAAAAATTATTAAATTTAATTCCGTATTAAGGTATGAGACAAAAAGTAAATAATTTATTATGAAATAATTGACAATTTATGATATTTACCTGCTGCAAAAGTTTCTGAGGTGAAGCAGTTTGAATAAATGAAGATATATAAACATTTACAAATGTTGCCATTAAATATTGACAATCAAATCTATCCATTATTCCTCCATGGCCAGGAATAACATCTCCAAAATCCTATAGTAATTGTGTTAAATATAGTATTATTTGCAATTATTTTCACATATATACAAAATAGTAACTGAATACATTACTTTAATTTTGAATGCTCTCTTAAAGCCACTGGCAAAGAACCCTCCAAATGGTCCAATTACAGAACTAAATACTGACATTGATAATGCATGAAGTAGAAATGGATATAGAGTTACAGTAGACCTTCCGCTAATCTATAAAGAAACAGCAATCATATTGTATGATTTACTATTTTTATTGCATGCTTTTTTACTGTATGTAAAGATTATCGTTCAGTTTTATAAAAAAAACATTACCATTTTCCATACAACTTGTACACTACTAGGTAAAGTATATTCTTGAGGCTGGAATAAAATAGATGGTTCACAATCCATAGTCATTCGTCCTAAAGCTTCACTGTATTCAATGGGACAAACAAAGTAGCGGTACTGGCACATGATGTATGATAACTAAAATGTATTTTATGAAGATTTTTAAAACAATTAAAACAGTTCAATAATACATAGTTTTTATATTAAAAATTTAAATGTAAGTTTACCAGTAACCCAAGTATAACTGTTGAAATGCCACCACCTATAAATCCTTCCCAAGTTTTCTTGGGAGATAATTTAATCAAAGGCGTTTTACCAAAGAAGAAACCAAACATATATGCCATTACATCGTTTATCACTATCATACTAACTGGGACAATAAACCTGGATCATAAAGACATATGTTATAAGAAAATACATACTAAGGTATGTAAAGGATACTTACTCACATAAATAACTGACTTACCATATCAAACCCTCAAAAATATTTTTAATAATAAGATAACTTTGTGTCACGACAATGAGTAGAGCAACATGTGTCCAAGCAAATAGAGAAAATTGTTTCATATAGTACCTTTTTACAAGTGATAGTACAAACCATACAAAACCAACAATGTATAGACAGAATGAAATGAAACGATGATACGTAACAAGTACACGTAAATATTCCTGTAAAAAAAAAGTATTTTTAGTCTGCAATATAAATGTATGAAGTTACAAATTATACAAATATAATCATACATATAATTTCTTTCCAATATTATATAGTTACTCTAA